TGTGCGACTCGCTGCAAGTCATAATGGTGCCACTTCCCGAATGTGCTTCGGGCGAATGGGGTCCGGCAAAGGCGACCCGACTATTTGGCCTTCGTCCTGTATCGCACCTAGATGCGATTATTAACGCTGGACGAAGTGTTGAAATCAGATTTAGGTAAATATTGGTGTAGTATCGATTTATTAATTAGTTCTTATGGTTGCTTAACGTCAATGTCTTGTTTAGAATGACAAAGCGCTTATGTGAGATTGTCGCCGCGTTGCATCGTAATCGAACGGATGATCGAGTGCTGCAAAATTGCTGTCGCACAATAATTAAAGGAGATCAGGTCTGTTGCAATGCCATCTTTAATTGGTGGGTTGGATGGGCCACTGTGATTGGTCCATTTTTTTAAGCCACGCCCATTTTCCCTATTACAGGTATCGATCCTTATCGATTTCCCAGAAGAAGGTCAATATGGCTTAGACATCTACACTCGTCAAGATGACCAGCTTGTAAATGGCCGACAACTACTTACCCATTGCTGCAAATATCTAATTCATTCCAGAAATTGCTAATTTCAATTTGACATACTAAACAATAAGTGGTAGTTTATCATTGTTTATATTTGACTGTTTTTTCATCTCTGTTATGGCGGCAGATATACGGGAACTTCAAAACAATTGTTTCATAGTTTTGTTATATATCGATCATAGATAGATATCTGTTTAATCTTCTCCTAAGAAGATTATAAATTCCATATAATGTGACACTTGTTTATGAAAAATCGCTTAATTCCTTGCCAAGTCATTTTGCTACTTTTACATTGCTTTTTCTCTCATTAAGAGGGTGTTTGCACTCACGCCATTGAGCCAAATTTGTGGGTGCGCCACGCCCCCCGCTTGTATTTTCTTCATCCATTAAATGATAGATTACCTATATGTACATAAATACTATGTATTTGTTTGATTGTACTAAACACTTCTCGGTGTATTTTGTCATTTTTTCCACTTTTACGGTTCTTGTCACATTAGTCCGCTCTTGTTAATCCTTAGTGACTTGAACTACGATCTTTTATGTATGAAAACAAAATATATTCATGAAAATGTGTCTTATTAGATGTCAGACAGGGCTTTGTAGTGAATAATCGTGTTTTCCCCAATGTCTTTTTGATTAATCTACCAATAAAACAAAAATTTGCTATAATTTCTAACTTTGGTATGTTATTATTAAGGTCATCGACTTTCGATATTGGAACAACAAAGTTCTTTATTAGAAAAGCTCCTATATACGCTTGAAAGAATAGCAACATTTTCTTCATTTCTCTTCACTCTGAAATTTTAAAAATTCATTCTAAAGCTATATTCAATGCGCTCTTCAACTGACCGTACTCCCCACACTTTTGACCGATTTCGTATAGGTCTCAGTCTTAATAGTTCTGGAAACTATTGTTTCACCAGTGCTTCCTTTGTTCTGTTGTTCCGCCTGCAATCAGACAGAATTGAAAAAACGTTAAATTTTACTATAAAAATATCTATAATGTTGAGTTCTAGCTAGAGCTGTTGGATCGCCAAATTAAGTCAAAAATTTGTCTTTAGAATTTAGGTGAAAAAGCTTTCCTCATTTAGAATGTAAGGAAACATTAACTCACATCGCGATTTGGTGTTTGCTGAAACAGGCACATTACTAATCTTCTATATAATAAAGCAGAAAGTCTGTATGTATGTATGTATGTA